CAAAGGATAAACTCCAAAGAGTCATTTCATTAATGTGATATTAATATTCTAGGGAGAAGAAGAAAGGGAGAGGCCAAGGGCTGAAGAAACTAAGACTCATTGATCATCCTCTGTGTACTCCCGAGCTTTATATAATCTATATCATTTAATCTTTGTGACAATCAATGGAGTAAATATTACTATGTTCACTTTAGAGACGTGCATATCAAAGCTCTGAGCTGTTCAATGACTTGTATTAGAGGCGGGGTTGAACCCGTGCTAATTTGACCCTGGGCCTGTACTTGCTCCATTATACAATGCCGCTTATATGTAATACACAGTATAAAGGGGCTTAGAAGTAAAAATGGCTATTGCAAATGCACTGAGTTCCTAAAAAGAGGATTACAAAATATATCCACAGAGATACAGCAAAAACACAGACCCCTGTTTTGTGAATAGTGGTTAAAAACAATGACAGTTTGAGATTAGGGAAGAATGTAGTCCTTAGATATTTTAAAAAACATCATATAAAGAAAAAAATAAGGGGACTTCCCTGCTGATTCAGTGGTTAAGAATAACTATAGTTATAGTTAGCTATAACTAATCCTCATCAGCTATAATTATGGGTTTTTTCCTATTAAGAAGAGTCAGAGGGTAGTCCTGAGTCAGGGGATCTCTGATTCAGACACTAAAACCGAGAGAAGCTCTTTATTTCAGGGGATGCAGGTTTGATACCTGGACAGGGAACGAAGGTCCCACATGCCTCTGAGCAACTAAGCCCTCGTGCCAAAACTAGAAGGTCGTCCAGTGAAATGAAAGATCTGCATGATGCAATGAAGATCCCATCTGCTGCAACTTAAGACCCAATGCGGCCAAATAGATAATTTTTTTTTAAAGAAAGGAGTAGAGACGACATCCATTGTATCAATCATAGATCTGGGATGGATGATTGAGAGTGTAGAATAAGGAAGTCATTTCTTTTCCAGCCCAACTTCAAGGACTTTCGAATAAACAAACAAATATGTGTGGGGGCGCATGTAAGATATGTTTTATATACTGCTATATTTTCAATGTATTCTCAATATAAGAGGACTTGGCATATGGTAGATCCTCAACAAATCTGTGTTAAATGAATAAAATCTGCCCCCCAAAAGAAAAACACTGAAATCTCGAGGCAATGAGCTCCCTATCAAAGGATTTTTGAAAAGAATAAGGTTCTGAACATGAATCCCTGACCTTGGTGAGAGGTTATATAACAGCTAAGCAAACTTTACTGAACACTCTCTAGACACTTGGTAATGCACTAAACATTTTACAACTATTATTTCATTTAACCCATGCCACAACTGCATGTGTTAGGAACTATTGATATCCCATTTTACATAAGTAAAACTGAGGTTTTCAGAAGTTAAGACATTTGTCCAAGACTACATAAATGTTAAGTGGCAAGACTGAGATTAAAAGCTCAGATTTTTGTTGATATTATGCTATATGGCCTGTTGCATCAGATAATTGCCAGGTCCCCTTCCAGTAATGAGATCTGACATACTCTATTTCTAATCTAATATCTTTATTGATGATTAATACCATGAACATGGAAGATGTTCTTCCCAAACAAGCAGCAGTTTCCATGGAAGTTGTATCTAAGAATGCTCAGCATCATGGCATTTACTTGTTCAAGGTAATTTCTTAGCATTACAAGATAAAATTCAAAACCCTTAGCATGGCACTTAATGTATTTCAGAATTCAATGTCATGTCTTACTTTTCCACATCAGCAACCTTCTTCTCTACCACCTTGCTTTCAATCATGTTCTAGCTCTATAGTGAATATCCATCGGTCTGTCCTTCAGTCTGTCCAGCCATCCATTCTTCCATCTACCTACTATAAGTCAAGAATGTTATTATTTCTGGGAATAATACTCTACCCTCACCTACCTTAGAAAATGAAAGTGCTAGCAGCTCAGTCATGTCTGACTCTTTGCCACCCCATGGACTATAGCCCGCCGGGCTTCTCTGTCCATGGAATTCCTCAGGCAAGAACATTGGAGTGGGTAGCCATTCCCTTTTCCAGGGGATCTTCCTGACCCAGGAGTCAAACCCAGGTCTCCTGCATTCAGGCAGGTTCTTTACAGTCTGAGTTACAGAGTCTCACAAAAGGGAACAAATAAGTAAACCTATGTGATCCTGACCTATCATCACAGGATGCGTTTCAAGTTCTTTTTACTTCCATGAAGCCACACCTAAGTATTCTGGTCCTTCTTCATCTCTTGCCTTCACTCTCACGACACGATGGCCCATATCATCACTGAGGTATAATGAGTCTCATTTTAGATGAGATTAAGTTTTAAAGTCAAAGGAAACTGTTTAAAGTCAAACTGAAACTGTGCTTGTAAATCCCTTAGCAAGAAGGTGTCACGCCAGAGACTGACTACAGTTTCCCAATACTTGCTTATCACAGTAAGTTTGCCCCACCTCCCCGCATGTTGAAATGGATGGTTAAAATGCCAGAGAAGAAGTCAGCTTAGTTCAGAGCCAAGCTGTAGAGAAAATGCATATCAAGCTGAACACTACTATACAGCACACTCATAATCACACTGAGATGCTCATAGCATTCAAGGCAGGAGGGAACCAAGACTGACTTAGAGCCCAGCAGAAGTACATTGTCCCCTCAAACTGAGACACTGGGGCCCATGTTCATAGAGTACAGAGTACAGATCATCTCCTGGGCTGTCTAATTTTTTCTCTTTCACACAAATGCACATACAAGGCAGCTGACTTACCCTGTGTCATCACTGAACTCTTTCAAATAGGCAATTGAACTAGGGGTTCCTAAAGCATATGAATTTTACCTAGCTCCATGCAGTTTGTTCCTTGTTGAACCAGACCATCTCATCCAATCCTTGGTGTACAGAATCCTCCACTACTTGGTTACTATATCCCTCTAACACATTTCTTCCCATTTCTTACTATACTTTCTATACTCTAACTCAACTAGTTCAGTTTCCAAAAGAAGACAGGATATGCCACACTTTTGGTTATGCTTATGACATCTTTTCCTGTGTTTTCTGACAGATGTTTATACTTAATACTTATTTCAAGTTTTGCATCTTCACTGTTATGTTGATTAAATTAACGCCTCTATTCTTCATCCCTTCCTGGATCCCTGCCCAATGCCATGTAAAGTGTCACTGTTCTACTCTAACTCAGTATTTGCAAAATTGCCTGGATAGTCTGCAACATATGAACCAGTCAGTTGAGCCTAGCCCAGGTCAGCTGAACCCATACTCACTGTGTATACTATTGATGTTATATTGTTATTATGTAGTATTACTGTAGTAATAGCTAACTGATATGTTTTCTACAAAAACTTCCCAAGGAAAAGTGATCTCTCCACATTTTTGCAACCTCTGAAACTTATAACTTTCTCTATTATAAAATTTAATACATTCTACTATTATAAACATTTAATGAGTGAATAGGTAGTATGATAATTTTTAGGTTTAGTTTTCCTTCTAAGACTGACCTTCTTGAGAACAGGAGCATCTTTGTGAAGGAATTAAGGTGATACACTTAAAACAGTGTGGGCATAACTATTAGTACAGCTATTATAGAATACTGCATCGTGGTTCCTCAAAAAATTAAAAATTGAAGTGCCATATGACCCAGAAATCCTATTCCTCAGTATACACCCAAAGGAAACGAAAACAGGATCTCAGATACCTGCACTCCTATGTAGACTGCAGTATTACTCACAATGGCCAAGATATGGAAACAACCTAAATGGCTATCAACAGAGGAATGGGTAAAGAAGGTGTGAGATATATAATATATATATAATGTATATGTGTATATAGTAGATATATATGTGTGTAAATGTGATAGATAACAAATATTAAAGATATATGAATGTAATATATTATAAATGTGACATGTGTATATGTAAATATATATATATATGTGGAATATTATTCAGCCTTGAAAAAGAAGGTTATCTTGCCATTTGCAACATGGATGAACCTCAAGGGCATTATGCTAAATAAGTCAGAGAAAAGACAACTACTATGTGATATCACTTCTATGCGGAATCTTAAAAGAATAGAATACCTGAACTTGTAAAAGCAGAAAGTAGAATGGCGGTTACCAGAGACTGAGGAGTGGGGAAACTGGAGATGTTAAGAGTACAAACTTGCAACATAAATTCTGTAGACTCAATGCACAACATAGGGACTATAGTAAAAGAAAAAATGCTGTATTATAAACTTAAACTTGCTGAGAGACTATCATTTTAACTGTTTTAAAAAGAAATGATAATTATGTAAGGTGATAAAGGTCTTAGCTAGTATTAGTTAATGCTACCCCAGTAACAATATTGTGAAATATGTGTACTGAACCAACATACTGTGCATTTCGAACTTACACAGTTGTACATATCCATTATATCTCAGCTTAAAAAAAATAGTTTGGGAACACGTGGGTTAGAATTGTGGCTCTGCAAGTGGCAAATTTTCTGAGCCCAAGTATCTCTAGCTTTAAAATGAAAACAGAGCCAGCAACTTCGCAGCCTTCTTGAGAAGAGGACATGAGAACCTCGGTATAAAGTGGTCAGCTCAACGCATGACACATCAGAGGGCGCGATACATAGACTGACACTTCCATGGCAAAAGTATTACAATGAGTGCACCAAAGCCAGAAAGTCCTTTGTCCCATTACTGATTCCTAATATCATAGATTTATTACTAGGAGGCTGATGTTTCAATTTACTGAGCCCAACTGTACCGTAAATAAAAGGACCACAGAGACCCATCTTTGCAACTTAACATCAGCACGATTGTTAAATGCAGTTTATTTAATCTCTCATTTAATTGAAAGCTGCAGTCGGTTGCAGTTTGCTATCTCTTCTTCCCCCAACGCTTCTGAGAAATACAGACACCTGGCCTGTGCTTACTGCCTGCTTTGGGGCAGGCTAAGCAGCCTCGTTGATGGGCGGCACTCCTGCACAGTTAAGAAACAGGTACTCACCTCGCTGGAGGCAGGGAGGCTTCTTCTGCAGCTTCTGAAAGAGCAAGAGGCAGGGCGAAAAAAAGACATGCTAGTGGCAGTCTGTTTAAGTGAACTGTTTGTGCAATGACCTGACTCTCTCCCACCACCAGAGAAAATGCAGAGAGGCAGCTCACCTGTGCCCCAACCCACCCTACCCCAGCACCCAGGGACTGTCAGGGACTGGATGCAGCGTTCACACACACTTTATGGTGCTTATTTATGACTGCAGTCTCTTTATATTAGACTTTGACTTCCTTGGTCCCTGAAACTCCTATGCGATTTATCTCTTAATTTCTTGTTTCTTTAATTTTTTTTTAATTAAACTTTCCACTTTGAGACAATTGTAGGTTTACATGCAGCAGTAAGAAATAACACAGAGGGACCCCATATACTCTTTACCCAGTTTCCTCAATCGTATGAGACCTAGGTTGATGTTCTTGTTTTCCCTTTGCCCTGCGGATGTCCATTATCTCTAACAGCACTTCTAACTAATCTCTTGTTTCTATCACAGAGTCTGGCAAAGAAGAGTGCAGCTGCTCAACACATGCTTGAGGTAATGGTAAGAGCGCCTTTACTGAGCGCTTACTGTTGTGTTGGCCACTGTCCAGTCTTCCCAGGCCTCATCTCATTTCTCCTTACAACCATCCTACGAGAGGAGTCTTACTATCATCCCCATTTTACAGATAAGGACAATGAAGCTCAGTGGGTCCCACGACCAAACCTAAATAGCCAGTGATGGGGGAGCTGGGATTTTCAATAAAATGGAGAGCCCATTTTATTCCCCAAAACTTAGTCCTCTGTTCTCTGACAACTTTTTTCTCTTTTGGAGAGATGGTTTGAGGCCTGAATTATTTAATGTTTATAAAAATCAAACTTCACCCTCTTTGATATGGAGATAGCCATATTATCAAAGTATACTTAGAAGAGCTCGATTTCTTGTTACAGAATTTCCTTTTAGGATATGACTTAATGTAACTTTTAACAGGGGTTCTCAAAGCATGGCCCCCAGACCAGCAACATCAGTGTCTCCCAGTGAACTTGCTAAAAACGTAAATTCTCAAACGCTTCAAACCCAGATCGGAGTTCCCCAACGACTCAGCGGGTAAAGAAGCCACCTGGAATGCAGGAGACGGAGATGCAGGTTTGATCCCTGGGTCGGGAAGATCCCCTGGAGGGGGAGATGGCAACCCACTCCAATATTCTTGCCAGAGAAATCCCACGGACAGAGTCTGGCTGGCTACAGTCCAAAGAGTTGCAGAGCCGAACCTGACTGAGCGACTAAGCAGAAATCCAGACCGACTGACTCAGAACTCTGGGTTCGGACCCAGAAAGCTGTATTCTAACAAGTCCTCCAGTTGATTCTGATGCATGCCCATGTTTGAGAACCACTGAGTTAGAGAAATTTCACCCTGAGGTAGCCCACAGCATTCAAATGAGCAATCAGCAAGCTAAGAAGAAACGAATGAAGAATTAGCTCTTTCAGTGTAGTGTTCACTGGTGCGCGTGGCCACAGTAAGAAAAATGCTAGCACAGCACCACACATCACCCCAAAGTGTATGTTCACCTCGTGTTTCATTAGAGCAGGTGTAAGCTAAGGTGTTTACAGTGTCAGTGGGATCAGGCTACGGTGGGGGGTGGGGGTGAGAAGGTTCCCTTACATAGCAGAGGAAAACACAGAAGAGCACAGAAAGAATGCTGCCAACCAAAGATGCTGCAGTTTACGGAATGGAGGATAGTGGTGGCAGGGGTGGGGGCCCTTCAGTTCATTCCTGAACACAGATCACAGTGGCCCAGGAGACTCCCATCACGATCCCAGGTCAGGTTCACACTGAGTTTCCTCTCTCCACTCCCTCCCCCTCTCCTCCTCCTCCTGGTTGTGTTGACAACACAGGCTTTGTAGGAAAACAAAGACTCCCTGCCTCCCTCTTCAGCTACTTTTCTTTTTCTTCCTCTTGGACAGATTCCCAGTGATCAAACGCAAAGCTCTCAGGGGAAGCAGGCTGGCCCAGGAGCGATAAGGGGCCAATTCCCACAGATTTGTCATTTCACGGGCAAGCTGCCACAGCCTCTATTTGAGAATAAGCAGTGATGGATGTCCAGCCCCACAGAGAAGCAGTTTGGCACCGTCCCCTGGGAGTTGATGCAGCGGGGGGAGGTGACGGGGAGATGGGGGCACGGGAACCATGACTCCCCCTGGCTGGCTGTGCACGGGCCCTGTGTGTTTTCTTACCTTCCCCATCGGGCTTGGAAAGAGCAGCTGCCTGCCTCTGGAAGGCCTGGAGGGTCATGACTGGGGGCCTTGGCGGCTTTGGGGGAGGAGGACCCAGGGACTCGACGGAAGGCAGTGGCTTGATATTGGGGAGCTGTGGATGCCTGACATCTGGCTGTTCCTCTGGGGACAAAGAGTCCAAAATATAGGTTATTATTTCCATCTCATGGTTGGCCTCAGTCTCACTCCCCTCCCACCTGTTCTCCACCCAGTAGCCAGAGTGTCCTGATCAACATGTGAATCCAAGCTTGCCACCATCCCAGCTGCCCAGAGGATGAAGCTTGATCTCCTCAGCTGCCGTCTACTCACTCCGTCCTCTGGTGTTAAAACACCACACAGCCTACACTTTTTTTTTCTTACCACATTTTACCATCCTGCTTCCCCCAAAATCTTCAGTCCCAACATCTTTCATTCACACCACTGGCTTCTCAGTTTTCCAGATTTCATAAATATTTTTTGCAGTTTTTTTTCTACTTTTTAATTTTATTTTTATTCTATTTTTAATTCATTTTTTATTTGAAGTATAGTTATTTTACAAAGTTGTATGGCATAGTGAGCCATATGTTTGTGTGTGCATGTATATGTGTATAAAGTTGTGTTCATTTCAGGTACACAGCAAAATGACTCAGTTTTTACATGTATATAAGATCCTTTTCTGACTCTTTTCTAGGTTATTACAAGTCCAGATTTGATTTCAAAAGCCTTAAATAGTTCTCAAATATCCAAGATTTTGTTCATGCCACCTGATGCGAAGAGCTGACTCATTTGAAAAGACCCTGATGCTGGGAAAGATTGAGGGCAGGAGGAGAAGGGGATGACAGAGGATGAGATGGTTGGATGGCATCACCGACTCAATGAACATGGGTTTGGGTGGACTTCGGGAGTTGGTGATGGACAAGGAAGCCTGGCATGCTGTGGTTCATGGGGTCACAAAGAGTTGGACATGACTGAGCGACTGAACTGAACTGAACTGTTCATGCCATTCTTGTTCTGGTATGCTGTTTCCTTACTTCTCCCTTGGTGAACTTTGACTCATTCGTTAAGACCCTTCTCCAATGATACCTGTCTAGATTTCTACCAGAAAACCAGCTCATAATCAACCACTCTTTGTTCAGTATCACCTAGCACACTGTTACCACCTCTCCATCAGTGCTGTGACATGTGAGCAGGGCTGGTCTATCTTCCCACTGAATGTAGGTTCCTAGAAGGAAGGGGGGCTTCCCTGGTGGCTCAGAGGTTAAAGCGTCTGCCTGCAATGCGGGAGACCTGGGTTCGAAGGGACTAGGCCCTAGTGATCTCCTCTGAGTGCCAAGCACAGGACCAGCGTCAGCAGAAATGCACAATGACAGTGGACAGATGGACAATGACTATTTCCTGAAAGCATTCTTGACAAGAGCTCATGATGGGCAAGTAACATGGGGGACATGAAGAGAAGTAACAACTGGCCTCTTGATTTCCAGGGCTCCAACATCTAGAACAGGTTTCAAGGCTGGCTTTGTGGTACCTGGGCACCTGTGGATTCTATATCCTGTAATTTTCCAGGACAGTCCCAATTTTATGTATTTTATTCTTCTGCACTGATGAGCAGAAATTCAAACATTATACATAAATATTGCATATGTTTTTTTACACTGAAAACAGCACAAAATCTTATATTATTCAAGTGCCTTGACTTTTGGTTGACATAATACAGTGGCTGACCACATGGTAAAACTAAAGAAAGTTGGCTAGTGTTTTACAGAAACATGAATGCAACCTCCTCAATGCCCTGCTATCCTCAGGAGTCAAGGAGGGGGTGGGGTGTCTTTCTAGCCCTACTAGCAAGGGTTACATAGTTAGGGCCAAAGTTCCTTTCTTTTAAGACTTGAATTATAAGCTTCGAAGTCAGAGATTTTAGTCTTTATCAAATAATAGAGAAGACAGTAAAAGTGAAAGATCAGTTACTTACTAACTGGGCTCCTCATTTTTATCAGGCACTGTGCTAAGCAATTTACACGGGTTATCCCATTTGATCCTCCCAACAGCTCTGTTAGGTAGGTTATCTAGACCTTTCTTTCCTCCCATCTCTCCTTGCTCCTCTTCATCCTTTCTTCCTCCCTATCCCTTCATCAACAATTATTTACTACATTCCAAGCATTGTTCCAGGGGCTAGAACTAGAGTTAAGGACAAGAAAAGATAGAGTTCTGCCCTCAAGAATTTTCATTCCAATAGGAGGAGGCTGATGATAAACATGCAAACAAATAAACAGATAAGAAAACCATAATAGGGCAGTGATGGGGGACAAATAAGGATTTGGGGACTAACATGTACACATTACTATACATAAAATAGATAACCAACAAGGACCTACTGAAAAGCACAGGGAATTAAACTCAGTATCTTGTATTAACCTATACAGGAAAAGAACCTAAAAGAGAATAGAAGCATATATATACATATATATGTATAACTGAATCATTTGCTGTACATCTGAAACTAACACAACATTGTAAATCAACTATACTTCAGTTTTTAAAAAGTAGAAAAAGAAAATCACAGCAATCTATTAATTCTATAAAGGAAATAAAACAGGATGATATGAAAGAATGTGAATTCTTGGTGGTGAGGTAATGGACTTTAGATAGAGATCTTTGGCTAGGGAAGGCTTATCTGGGAAAGTGTCATTTGAACTTAGACCTAAAGGTAACAAAGGAAAGATCAAAGCAAAGTATTGTATAGGAAGAGGGAACAGAAATCATAAGGTCCTGAGTCATAATGAAGTCTGTTCACAAAACAGCAAGGAAATCCAGGATGTTGTCTATAGGCTAGTGAGCCAGGGAAAGACAGCAGGAAGTAAGTCAGAGACATAAGCAGGGACCAAAAGAAGCAGAGCTGTGAAGTCAGTAGTAAGTAGTTTAGACACTATTCTGAGTGAAAGAGAAACCAAATAGGATTGTAAGCAAGAGAGCCAGCCAGCCAGCCAGCCAGCCAGCCATTTATTCAAAAAAATACTTTCCTGAGAACTCATTGAAACTGGCCTTGTCCTTTTAGGTTCTGGGGATACAGTGGTAAAGAAGACAGTTTTTATTCTCACTTAACATATCATTTACTGAGGTAAACAAATACATAACAAACTAGATAGGGGTAAGTGAGAGAAAACGAAAACAATGTAAGAAAAAGACTGTTGGAGGTGGGTGGTTATTTCAGATAGAGTGATCCACAAGGTCCACACACAGCAGGAGGTACTGAGCAGAGACCTTGATAAAATGAAGGAGTGAGATGTCAAGTCCTACAGGAAAAGTGCTCCAGACAGAGAGAGCAGCAAGCACAAAGGCCCTGGGGTGGAACTAGCTTGGTCTATCTAAGGAATAGAAAGAAGGTCAATGCGGTGAACGAGGAGAGAGTACGAGATGTTGGCAAGGGGCAAACTGTATGAGCCACAGTAAGACAGCTAAAGCTGAAATGAGCAGGGGAGTGATATGATCGGATTAATGCTTTACAGCATCACTGTACCTGCGAGGAGGAGCATAGAATACAAGAGGGCAAGGCTGTGAAAGCAGGGAGACCAGCTGGACCTGGCAGTGGTCCAAGAAAAGGATGGTCCATAGTGGTGTAGACCTGAGCAGAAGGCGGAAATGGAAGCAAGTCAGGAGATTTAGAACGTATTTTGGTGACGGAGCCAAGAACTTGCTGCAAACAATGATTACTTATAAACAAAGAGGCAGGGAGGTGGGGTGGGTGAGGGGAATAGAATATGATTCCTAGATTTTTGGCCTGAGCAAATAGGAGGGTGGTTGTGCCACTTACTAAGACAAGGAATACTGGCAATGGATCGATTGATAGGAAAGGAAACCAGGCTTTGTGAAGTTAAGCAGACTGCCCCAGTTCAGCCATCTTGTAAGAAGTAGAGCTGAAGGATTCAAATCCAGGTTTGTTCCACCTGTCTCTCCATATAATTCCAGGGGATTAATCACTTAATCCAAGCCTGAAATTATAATCTAGCAGATGGGCTTAGAATATCTGTGCTAGAGTATGGGACAAACACTGCCCAGGCCACATATGAGCCCACCCATGCCAGTAAGCTCTAAATTAGAAATGTACAGTGATCCCTCCCCCAGGCCTGTGGGGGTTTGATTTCTCACCTGGGGTCTGGCTGGTGAGCTCATTGTCATAGACAGGGTGACAGATACTCCCTGTCAGGCTCCTCTCAGGACTGGAGTTTGTTCCACTCTCCCTGCTACATTGAGAAAGTCGAACGGTGGGATCTTCAGAGATGGCACACAATCTTCTTTGGGCCATCAGGTGCCTGTGGGAAGGTAGAGACTGGGCTTCTTTTATTTCCATCTTTTCCCTGGGCTCCTCTGGAGTCAGCTTGATACTTTTCTGCTTGTTTAGATGGAAGGCCCTGCTTCCACAACTGGCAGGGAGAAAGACGGATGGTGTCTCACTTTTCTGAGATAAAACCTCCCAGCTCCAGAGCTTGTTTCTGAAGCTATCATTCACCATGACTTTCTTCTTACTGGCTATCTCACCATTTGACAGATACACATCTAACTGCGGAGAAGCCTTCTGTGAACTTACTGCAGAACCAGAAAAACTTGGAGGTTCCAGGTAATTAGAACATTTCTGAGTCTCACTCTTCTGAGTCACCTTCATTTCCTGGGGTTTAAGAGGCTGGGGATCACCATCGGCACAGTTGAGTGAGTGCTGATTGTGGCTGGATGAGGGAGGTTTCCCACTGGCCAAAGTCTTTGTGGACTGTCTACTTCCAAAGTCTCCCTTTTGAGAAACATCTGCTGGAAATTTAATAGGTCCTGAAAGAGACGATGCATCAAGATTTTGAAATTTGGCTCGAAGTTCCTTGAAGTTTCTTAATCTTTCCTGGAGCATAAAAGAAAAGAAAAAAGCAGCACCATTAGTTGACTTCACTGTGCTTGCTAAGAGGCTCTAGGTGCTGATATAATGCCATTGCTTATCTATTGAGTAGTATCAGTAATGTGAGGCAGAGTGAAAACAACTATGTGCTCTTTGAAATACTGCAGCCATACTTAATCTCGTCACAACATACAAAGAATGCTTATAAAATAGATAGCACTAACAATTACTGATAAACCCCTTGATATAAACTTTTGGTGGCTCTCTGCTGCCTGTCCAAATAAACCCCTTCATGCGGCATTTAAGAACAAAAGTTGTGGGATTATGATCTCAGCCATAGATCAACATGTGTGCGTGTGTTTAGTCACTCAGTTGTGTCTGATTCTGTGACCTCATGGACTGTAGCCCTCCAGGCTCTTCTGCCCATGGGATTTTCCTGGCAAAAATACTGGAGTAGATTGCCATTTTCTCCTCCAGGGGATCTTCTCAACCCAGGGATTGAACGCACATCTCTGGCATTTCCTGTGTTGGCAGATGGATTCTTAACCACCACTCAACCCTGATCCTGGGAGAGATTGAAGGCGGGAGGAGAAGGGGATGACAGAGGATGAGATGGTTGGATGGCATCACCGACTCAATGGACATGGATTTGGGTGGACTCTGGGAGTTGGTTATGGACAGAGAGGCCTGGCGTGCTGTGGTTCATGGGGTCTCAAAGAGTCAGACACGTCTGAGCAACTGAACTGAATTGAACTGAAACCAAAAGGATAATTGGCAAGTTTCTAGAAACTTTATACTCTCTACCACCCTGACTCTGCCTATGTGTTCCTGCTCCCCCAATGCATCTCCCTATCTACTTGTCAACTGCTTTCTTGCAACAATAATGCCCACCTTCTCCACAAGATTTGCCCTGTGGCTGACAGGTAGGCTAACTCCTTCCCTGGCTCCATGTTGCCTGGCTATTGAACTTAATATCATAGGGTGGCAACAAGAGCAATCTTCGGAACCTGACAGGTATGTTTTCCATTTCTGACTCCACTCTTTATCATCTAGGCAAATATTTTGGGAAACTTGGTATCATCAATGCAGTCTCATCATAAAAATAACTTGCAAGCAGTAGAAGGATGAGGGCTGCCATATGTAAAGAGTCTATCACAGTGCCTGGCACATAGTAAATAAAAGCTACTTAAAAGGGATGAGATGATGCTCTTGTACTTTTGACTCTCCTTGGGAGACTGTGTTCTGCTTTAAATTCTGTTCAAATCCAGTGAATGAAAATGGTGGTAGTAACAGCAGGCCAACCCTTGGAGCAGAGGAAGGGATACACACAGGATCGTACTGTAAGTGGGTGGTCTAGGTAGGTGGGATTGGGCTCGATGCCTGTGAAGTGCTCTTCCCAGTCCCACCCCTCCCTTCCCTCACTAAATTTGCTTTTGTACATCCATTTTGTCATTTTCTGTCTTCAGAGGAGGTGGTGGGTAGATAGAGCATAGAAGGACATCTAATGGAGCCATTTCCGAAGGAACAGCTGCCAACTTCTCCCAATCATCTTAAGGGTCTTACTTTTAGGTATACAATCTTTATGCAGGTAACTTCAGATTTTGCCTGCTGAAGGAATAACTGTTGGATCACCTTTTCTCACTGTGTTTACAGTTGACTCACACCTGCCCTCTGAAGATTTAGGAAGGGAGGAATATTGAACAAGGACTATGAAGCAGGTGTCTGGAAGCAGGCTTGCATGCTCTTCCCTCTTTCTTCAACCCTCCCTCCATCCCCTTCCTTCTCTTCCTCCTCTCTCTCTGTCACTCACGCACACATACATACCCCTACACACACATTTATAGCTTTCTTCACAAACTGCCAAGGGTTAATCTCTTATATTTCAACCAGCAGTCAAGTTGATTCCATTGACCTTCCTCTCCCCTGATGTGGTAGCAGCCAGCATTGGGCATGGAACCAGGAGATCCGAGGATGAGGCTCAGCTTTGCCATTCTCCAGTCGTGTGCCTTGGACAACTTCCTTCACTTTTCTGAGCCTTAAGCTCCTCACTATAAAATAGGGATATACTACTAACAGTTCAGGGTTATTGCGAGGCTCACATGAGATGACAGATGTATACACCTCAGTGGTTAATATTTTTTAAATTGTGGTAAAATACACTTAACTTTAAATTTACCACCATAGCCCATTTTTAAGTGTAGTATAGTACAGTAATGTTCAGTACACTCACACTGTAGTGAATGTCTGGGACTCTTCCCATCTTGAAAACTGGAGCACTGTATTCATTAAACAACAGCTTGCCATTCCCTCTCCCTTGGGGAGAGCTGGGACAGAGGAAATACAGAAACTGGTCTGTGGCAGGCAGGACAGTGTAAGACCTACATGAATGGTCTGTGCTGCGGCCCTGCATGCCCCAGCCTGAGTCACGTTCACTGGTGTGGAAGGGGCTGGGTGCTGGAACGTGGGGTTTGGAGAGTGGGCTCAGGAACAGAACAGCTGCTGGCTGTGAAGAGACAGATCTGAAGGGGCAGGACTAAGGAGTTCCACAGTCAGGAATGTTTGTGGAAGAAACCTGGGCCACCAGAGAAGCAAAGTGCCGTTGTGGAGTGGTGCACAAGAGGCAGGGCCACCGCTGTGCCCCCTCCCCTGCCCCCTGCCTCGGTGGGCACTAGGAGGAGCGTGCACCTGAGCAGGCTCCCACTTCCCTCCTGCCAATACCTCCTCTGCCTGCTGGCCCCAGTGGGCTTGCACACCCTGCCCATTGCTGCCTCCACCCCTACTGGCCCTAGAGGGGTCTCAGGGTGCTGGTGGGAGCAACACACGCAGAGGTGGGGCTGAATCCACAGTGAAGCCCCTGGGGCCATGCAGCGAAGGAAGAAGAGCTGGATTCTCTTGTCATGACTGCAAGAACCATAGATTTACACCACTGCTGCTGGCTTTGAAAACCTAGCACCTGCAGAATATCTGAATGGATGAATGCTCCCACATCTGAGATGGGTCTGGTTTTAGCAGCTGTGGGCTTTGTGGACACATACACAAGGGGACTGAAGCAGGTCAGAATCTGAGCTGTCTCCATTAACTCCCACAGTGGATCCAGGCACATGACTACTGCAGTCCTGGGATGACTCTGGTGGATCTGCACTGGTGGCTTGGTGAAAACAATGCCTGAGAAACACCAGGAACAATTGCCACTATAACCACGGTTAAGGTGGGGCTGAGAGCAGTTCCAACAATAGTGTAATTTGTGAGTCAGCACAAGAGGTGAAAAATGACACAACAGAATACGCACACAGGTAAATAGCTCCAGAGGAGGAAAACACAGTGACTTTTCTCCCAGTGGGAGTGCTCCAACTCTGCCTATCTCACACTGCAGATCAGAAACACAGCTCAGAGACAGATCTGGGGACCTCTACTCCAACAGCTAGGGAGCAGACTTTCCCCTGGCAGGGCAGTAACAACACAGAGAAGGAGTGGGGGGGGGGGGGGCTTTGCTCAATATCCATCACAGGCTCAGGTCACCACAACGTCAGTCACATCTCCTATCAAGGGGATAATGGCTAGCATACACTGAGGAAAGGGGTAGTAGACATCCGTACTAAAACAGTCCTCACATCAAAAAATATAAATCACATAGAGACTACACAGGGACATTCCCATATAAAAAACAGCCTTCCAAGGTAGTGTGAGGGTCAGGATTGGAAAGAAAAACCCCCAGAATATTTGGCCTTGAAGGCCATCAGGGCCTGCACGCAGGAGCTCCACAGGGCTGGGAGAGCAGACTTCTCTCTTGGAGGTTGCACACAAGGTCTCACATACACTGGGAACCAGCACAAAGCAGTACCTCCACATGAACTGGGGTAGACCTAACTAGGGGTCTGGGAGGTGGCGTTTGGCTGTAGCTCACTGTGAGGGCAAGGACACTGGTGGAAGAGGCCCCAGAGAATATTGATTGGCATGAACTCCCCCAGAGGTCCCCATTTTGGCACCAAGACCTGGCCCCACCCAACAACCTAGAGGTTCTAAGCTGTAATGCCTCAGGCCAAAGAACCAGCAAGACAGGAACACAGTCCCACCCATCAGTAGACAGGCTGCCTAAAGCCATACTGAGCCAACAGCTACATCAAAAGACACCACTTGACACAGCCCTGTCCATTAGACGGACAAGATCCAGCTCCATCTACCAGAGGGCAGGCATCAGCCCCTCCCACTGGGAAGCCTGCATAAGCCCCTGGACCAACCTCACCACTAGGGGGCAGACACCAGAAGCAAGAGGTACTGTGATCCTGCAACATGTAGAAAGGAGACCACAAACAGAAAGGTTGACATGACATGTTGCAAATGAAGGAACATGACAACACCGTAAGAACAACTAAATGAAATGGAGATAGGCAACCTTGCTGAAAAAATTTACAGTAATGATAGTAAAGATGATCCAGAATCTTGGGGAAAAGCAGACACAGATTGAGAAGTTGCGAGAAATGTTTAACATGAAGCTAAAAGGTTTAAAGAACAAAGAAACAAGTGAACAATACAATAATTGGAATGAAGAATACGTAAGAAAGAATCAATAGCAGAATAACTGCAGCAGCAGAATGAATAAGCTGGAACTCAGAGTGATGGAAATCATTGCCATAGAACTAAATAAAGAATAAACAAAGAAAATAAATGAGGACAGTCTCAGAGACTGCTGGAAAAACATTAAATGCACCAGCATTTGTATTATAGGGATCCCCAAAAAAGAAGAAAAAGAGAAAGGACCTGAGAAAGTATTGGAAGAGATTACAGTCAAAAACTTCCCTAATACAGGGGAGGAAATAGTCACTCAAGTCCCAGGAGGCTCAGAGAGTTCATACGTGATGATCCCAAGGAGGAACATACCAAGACACATATTAATCAAACTGACAAAAATTAAAGACAAAAAGTATTAAGAGCAACAAGAGAAAAGCAACAAATAATATACAAGGGAATCCCCATAAGGTTATCAGCTGATTTTTTCAGCAGAAATTCTGCAGGCCAGAAGGGAGCGGCACAATATATTTCAAGTGATGAAAGGGAAATATCTACAACCAATAATACTCTAACCAGTAAGGGTCTCATTCAGATTTGATGGAGACATCAAAAGATTTACAGATAAGCAAAGCTAAGAGGATTCAGCACCACCAAAACATCTTCACAACAAATGCTAAAGGAACTTCTCTAGGTGGAAAGAGACCAGCACCTTAAAACAATGTTCATACATATACTGTTATA